GGCGTTGTACTCTTCCTTTGTTCCTTTTCTGTTTTCTTTGGGTTTTGATGTACACACATGTTTGATTGATCCGAGCTCCCCTCTTCACGTCAACCTCGAGTAATCTTGTCGACATTTCTAAGTCTTTCGCGGGCATTACATGGCATACAATACACTACTTCGTGTACTTTAGATACGTACCATTCTTTATTAGGACCGTAGGATTCAATACCATGTAGATATCCATATCCAGCACATGCAAAAGAGTCGAGCTTCATGTAGTTCACGTAAAATATACGAAAGGGGGAAAAGAGGTGTGTAGTCATATTATTGAATTGGTTGTCTATTCTGTAAGTGATATTTTAGACTGTATCATACAATCTAATTGATCTGCTTAATTTGGATTATATCTATCTACTTTCTTGTTTCAGTGATATATGAGGAACGGAGTAATGTCTCTCCTTACCCTCACTAAAACGTCATAAATAACAGCCAGCCCTTTGTCTCCCCACTCTACTCCCTTTCATACCAACCATGCACGAACTCAAGGGTCTAGGATCCAATTCCATGCTACTCCGTACAACTTGCTCGAGCGTACAGTAGTGCTGTGGATGGGCGAGAAACCATAATATCGGTCCCGACCCTCTGGCCCTCTTTTGAAAGCTTTTCACTGGTGCGTGGGTGCGAGTTGGTAGTTTGAATCCATCCTTATAAGGCCATTTCCGTGTCTGTGAATAATCGGAGATGGGAAATTAGATTGTGATAGTGCGCGGATTGTTGATGGAACGCTTCTGAGGGAGAAATAATGGGTGATTTCATTGTTGATAGATAGATAGATAGATAGATAATAATCTGTAGGACCGAGTGGTGATGACTTTCGACTTCCCTGTTCCAGCTAATCCGGCATAATAATGTCTATAAACCTACATGGTATTTATGCAAGAGGCAAAAGGCAAAAACCCCAAACCACCCCCATTTTCAATGTCAATTCGGCATTCTACTTTCTAACGAATACCGCATCCAACGCAGCCCTGTGAAAAGTTCAACAGATAACTACCTAGTACGCTTTGATAGTGATCTAAGCTAGATTGATCAGGGCTGAGTATCTCAGACCGGACTAGTGAGCTCCACTAGCCGAGGTATTCAGGTATTTCCTTTGGTGCAATGGGGTTTGTTCCATGGGAGACTTTGAAGTTTTGTAGGGGAAGAGAAGGTGGGATTTATGAGAGAAGGTGGGATTTACGAGAGAACGTGAGGTTGAGAATTCCAGTACCATCGCTTGTTATTTCCAATTTCTTGTTTTCGACTCAAGGATTCCGCATAGTACGACCACGATCCAAACAAACAATTCAGAATCAATTCGGAATCAATAATCGATAATCCAAAAGGAAATAAGGTTGGATACGGTAAGCTCGTTGGTGGCACAGCACCACATCCCTTGGAATCTCTGAACCTTACCCGTCGACGTGGATTGGAATCCTACGATGGTAGCTTAGGTCACGAGTGAGTAATCATTATTCATACATTTTTACTGTCTTGTAATCCGATTGTACGTTGAAGAGGGGCAGTAAGAGCTACATCGTGATCCTGTACGGATTTCAATGAGGTGAAGATGAAGGGGTAACTCGGCAGAGCCGATGATAATGAATGGGGAAGTACGAGGTGGTCGCGCGCGGGCAACCTGTCATCTGTGATTAGAATAGTCGTTCCTAGGTTTCCCCGCCTTGAGCCTGTTTGTCCGGCCAACTTATTAGTTGTGGAAGAATAGTAACATGCATACAATCAAGTAATAATTACTGGATTCACTTAACAACCAAAAACATCATTCTGACTGCATACTGACGCGAACATCCATCAATCCCACTCTCATGCCGTCTATTCGTTCAATCTCATTGCTATCACCAAGAAATTCAACGCCGATTTCATATAATCACCGGGATGCTTTCCTAATACAGTCAATCCATTGTCGGGTACTTCCTAGCCCTACAAGGCTTATTCTAAATAGCCCCGAGATTCAGAAACGTGAATGAAATGAAGAACCCTTGGCAATCAGCGACAGTGATTAGGGATACGTGATCACATCACATCACAGCTATACATCTGGATTGAGGATAATTACCGAGGCTCGAGCGGGACGAGTAACAAGCTTGATTGAAGTCATTGCCATGTTCCAAGCTTTGCTAACATCTAGTGAGTAGAGGCTCTGCGTGGCCGCGTCGCGTTGCCAAGATGCTTACTTTCACTAATGATCGATTACCAGGAAGTTTCTAAAAGTCGGCGACCTGAACCAGTTATTTGGAAGCGGAGGCTATGTCACGATGTTGTGATGAATCATGAAGATGGGATTTGAACTTGAATGGTGTGCACTAGATCAGCGTTGCAAGGAGGTGTGTGGAAGTGGGAAACGGCAGGCGGGAGAAGTGAAATGTTGATCACAGATAGACGGGAATCTAGATCTGCTAATTCTGGGTTTAGGTAAGAGGGAGGTGGATAAGCTCAAAGTTCACGCAGAGTGTCTCGAGAGTCTCAGCCACCATCTCATTTTGCGGGGACGAATCTCGTTATTTTCCCTCAAAGCTTCATTTAAATCCAACCTGTTATTGATCCCAAGATACGACTGGAGCTGACTGTTTTCTGATTAATCTTGTTTGGCATACGAATCTTTACACACCGGTATTGAGGCGAAAACTTGCATAGTACCAATCACGTTCGTAAATTGAGTATTGAGAGGGGTACGAGTAGATCTCATTTTAGAAGAACCAATATAATAAGCATCCAGGAAACTAGATCTTGCCCCCAAACCAACGTTTCCAGCAGGACAAGGCTACAGTATATACAGAAACCTGTATGTCCAGCTTTCCCATAAACGCCCCCGATTTACATCTGCCTAGTTATCTACCCTTACACTCGCGAGCCAATTCGTTTACTTGCAAAATAGCATTGCCCCGTGAGCATGCATCAATCTAAGCGGTGAATCGAGCACAGGTGGATGGATGTCTTTAGCAGATCTAGAACAAAGGGCTGAAAAACATTCGGTAGATGGGTGTGAATTGCAACCCATGTTCTGATCAGCCGCTGATGACATTGGCGTTGGGGCTAGATTACGTGCTAAGGTGGCCATCATACAGTATCGTAAGATACATAATTGTCGTATTAGGATATCTAATATATTGTATGTTCTGGTATCGTCTTTCATTGATTGACCTGCATGCAAGAGATGAACATGCCTAAATCTCGAATACGGACAGTATATATTTTTCAATTTTCAGCTAAATGCCAAGCCATCCAGATCTTTCCATTCAGTCAATTTGTATAGGTAGAAATGTTACACAAAATCCATGCTCATGTAACAAATTTTCCGTTTCTTTTTATCCCTTGGCCAACCTTATGAACGCCCGCCTCTAGCGCCTCAAAGCACAGTACCAGGCTCGAGTGAAGTACGGCCCCATAGGGCGAAAAAGAAGGCTGAATCTCTGGCACACACGCGGGATGTCGAAGCGAAACACGAGGTGTCGTATCACAACACTTTTCCGCTTTTGGGACAAACATCGCCAATCGTCCGTTTATCGGTACGGGGATGATCTGGAGTCTGGATTGACACGATTTTTTTTTCATGATTTGATTGCGTATGCACATGCTGGTGGTTTTCCTGGCTACATGTGATTTTATGTTGGAATGGCTCGACTAGTCAGCCTTAGTTATTTCGAGTAGATACAATATGTGTTGCATATGGATGATATCGGGTAGGGCTTTCGGTAGGCGGACGAACGGGGGTCGATGCCATGTTTATGCTACGTGAGTTAGATCATCCTCGAGTCGGGTGTTCTGAACCAGACATCATTTACTTACTCATGATAATGTCTTATGTTGAGATCTCTGCGTGTTTGGTGATCAACAAAATCTAAGACATTTCCAACCTTCGGAGATACTACAACCTGCTGGCTACTGGTACAATAAATCGCGCAACGTTTCATTGTGTTATTGATCATCTAACGAGACATATTGTTGTTCATTTCGGCCAACATTCTCATTCCTTCGATTTTCACAAGAGAACTATCACCGATATCAGTGGCACCGATATGAATTACAAAGTTTGATGAGTCTAATCATCGTTTATCATGACAGCCTTGTAGTTTTCGGAGATATAAACCTAATAACACCCGAAATCCATCCCCAGTTTCCCCCTGAAAAACTCAATCTGATCTCGTCCACCTTATGCTGTTGACATCTCCACGGTGGTCAAAATCCCTAAAAGTAAGCATTTCTTGGCCCGGACTCGGCCCGATGAGAAGATTCTCGTGCTTGTGCTTTTTAGCCCCGAAGGAGTATTCCGAAAGTCTCATCGCATGGATATCAGTGCAGATTCATCTACAAAATGCAATTTCGTTAATCGTCTCCTGACTATCTTCACGTAAAAGACTAGATGGTAACACTGCCACTACATGTATGCGCACAAATGATACTGAATGTTGCGCACCGGATGTTTCGTCTGCCGCTCTGTAATCAAACTGCCGAAACACAGAACAAGACAAGATCTCGTGAAGGAAAATACTTCTCCGCGCAGAAATTTTAACTTTGTGTTGACTAAATGGAGTTTCTCAAGGTTTTAAGGCTGATTTTAAAGTTTGGCCTAAGGCAAATTAAATTCTACGAGTGAAGGATCAATAGTTCCTAGCGCCGATATTTAACCGGTAAGGCGGGGTGAAAGAGCAAAAGAACAATTTGGAATTTTCTAAATGTAGACACAAGCTTGAAGAAAGAGACCCTTGAGGGTGGACTACATACCAATAATATTTCATCACCTGATTTGAATTGAGTACGCTCCCCTTTTTTGCAAGTACACTGCTGGCCATAAGCGAGGATTTGAGATTGTTTGACTTGCTATCTCGAGGTTACACAAGGTTTGCTCGATCAAGGTGGCGACGTCAACATCAACGTCAATTGAAGACTCGCCAAATTCGGAAGGCAGGCAGTTACAGGAACAGATACAGAAAGTAAGGAATTTGAGACAGAATCTTAAGATGAATACAGAGCCTTCGAGGTTATCAGGGGAGGATGAGTTGTATGTTGGAGGGTATGTACATTTACTTTCGAGCGTTTGCCCCGCGCACGTGATACTGTTTTGATTTTTTGACCTTTTCGCTCAAATGTTGCGGAGGATCTCTGGCTATCGTCTACTGTTCTTTGAATGATATAAGAGATAGATAGTTCTAACACAAGACAGGATCGTTTCGTTGACTGAAAACTCTCTCCAAAAGAATAACATCACACATATTGTCAGTGTTCTGAAGTACGATTTCAAGAACTTCAATATCGATTGGAACAAGTACAAACACCTCCAAATCGAAGTGGATGATGTAGAGGATGAGAATTTGCTGGCTGAATTTGAGACGACGGGAGCTTGGATTGAGGAGGCTTTGAAGGGCAATGGGAGGCTTGAGGGTGATGAGGGCGAGAAGAAGAAGGGTGCTGTGCTCGTTCATTGGTAAGCTAGGATGCTTTATTTTGTTTGTCCTGAAAGACGAAAGTCATCACTATCATTGTAGTAGACATGGGAGCATGTTATTGGATTTTAAAAGGAGAAGTCAAGTGGTCTTTCTCTACTCATGACTCCTTCCTATCTTTGAACAATTTATATCAAACACTGACACCTAATAGCGCAATGGGTCGCTCCCGTTCTGTAACCATTTTAATCGCCTACCTCCTCCGTCAATATTCCTCACTGACTCCCCATACTGCGCTTGCCCAAATACAACAAACACGTCCTTTCGCTGAGCCTAATGATGGATTCATGGCGCAACTCCAACTATATCACGAAATGGGCTGTCCAAGAAACATAGATGATCAGCCTAAGTATCAAAGATGGTTGTATCAAAGAGAGGTTGAGTTGGCTGTGGCCACCGGAGGACGACCTGATTGGGTAAGATTTGAGGATGAAGAAGAGCAGGATAAACAGAAGGCAGACGGCAAGGAAAAGGAAATCAGATGTAGAATGTGTCGGTAAGTTCTTCCGTTTGTTTTGTCTTCACTTATTTTCATTTTTCTGCCACATATCATAATTATCAATCAGCAGCGAAGGAATGTAATCATCAAGCTAAAAATTACCCAGCCGCAACCTCGTCACAACCCCTTACCTGATACCTCACACGCCCTCCCCAAAATCCACGTCTTCTCCCACCTCTCTCGTTAATCCCAGACAACACCTATTTCCTCCCTTGCTTCCACTCCTCATCATAGCACCTGTACCCACCACTTCTTGCACCCTCTCTCCTGGATGCGTCCAGAGCTCGAACTCGGAAACTTATCTGGAAGACTCGAATGTCCAAACCAAAAATGCAAAGCCCAAGTTGGAAAGTATGCTTGGCAGGGGATGCGATGTAGCTGTGGAGTATGGGTTTGCCCGGCTTTCAGTTTGTTAAAGGGAAGATGTGATGAGGTCACGATCGGAAAGAGGGTGGAAGGAGGGAGCGGGGGTATTAGGATGCCTCCTGGGATGAGAGGAAGCGGAACTACGTTGGAGAGGGAGAAGGGTAGTTTGTAGACTGGGGATGGGGATTGGTCTGGGAATGATTGATGCTGCCGCGCAGGCGAGGTGACAACCCTTGTATGCATTTATGTACATATGTATCAATGAACATAACCGCGGCACGTTACCGTCTGGTACTAGACAGGAATTATAAGATGCGATATGATAGGAAGTTGAGAAGATTAGATTACAGGGCCATGGGTCTGGCTTATTCCACCCTATCATTTTGGTTGTATTTCACACTATTCACGAGACACATACAATACACTGCTACCACCTACATCAATGCCTGCATATGCATATAGCATATACCTAGTTCTAAATATCTTCACCCTGCACATGTGGCATTCGGAATTGAAAAAGAAAAACTAGTAGAAAAAAACAAGTAGAAAAAGTCTATGTAATTACAAGGAATCGGAAAGTTCGGATTTCGAAATTTTCAGTGTCAAAAATGTCAAAGTAGTATTTGCGGAACGACCGAGAGGTGATGGATTCGATTGCCTGGCCCTGCTTGTGTAATGCTGGGTTGTGTTTGCGCGGATAGCAGTCGCATGGAGCGGATGATGAAGGAATGGATTTCTGGTATGGGTATGGGCATGGATGTGGGTGCAGATGCAGGTGGGTATAGAATCGCTGTGTAAGCGGGAAGATGGTTCAGAACAAATGGGTCTAGATGCTTCATCAGGTAGATCGTGAATTTGTATAGGGGGTCAATGGATTCTTTGTAAAGTGTGTTATATGAATTAGGAAACTTGTTATGCTCTATATATTTCTGTCTAGATGTACAAAACGGATAAAGGCGTCGGGAGGGTGACCTCATCCATTCCTGGTTTAGATGGAGCTTATTTGAAAGATTGAAAAAGCATTTAGTATGTCATGTTATATCATTATACATAATGTGGTATGACCTCCTTCCCGAACTAATAGACCCCTTCGTATGAACCAACTCGTCCAGGATTAGCCTCATTCTCACCACTTTCCCGCTCTTCAGTAAGCCGCACGCTCTGTTCATTCATCCCAGCACTTCACTTATCGTTAAAAACAGCGAAAGGAGATCCTAAACACACCGTAACGGTGTAGGATTATTGGCTCCACTCTTCACGTATACATAACGTTTTAACTTCAACCAAGTTGTCGGGTCCGTTTTTACTTACATTCCATGTGAATCAGGCAGCTATGCAGTGGTGAAGGAAGGTAGGATGAATTGATGTTAAGGATGACTCAGCTTGAGCGAGGCAGGATGGGACCAGATGTGTCAGGCTCCGTGAGCGGAGTGGAGTGTGATATAATAAACGGATGCAAAGGCGTACCTCAGGTAGAGAAGGAAGAAAGGAATCGAGCATGATATTTGAGGTGTAATAGAATGCTCATATGCATGTAAGTCAGCCGTGAAAATGTGATAGATTTACGGATGGCTTTCTGTTCGCAGTGGGCTTTCCGAAATGAACGTTTCACCGAGTAAATACATAAATAAAATGTACGTACAATGACCAGCAGAGCAAAGTCGTGCGGTCTTAACTCTGCAAGACATTGCTGCGTCTATCCAATGATGCCATCGTTGATGGGAAAGATGACCGGGGTAGCATTGCATCGTTAGATATGCGGGGTAAAGGATGCTGGCGGACGCTCATTCAGCCGTCTGACTACAGGACATGATCGATGAGCATGAGGATAGGATAAGCATTCAATTGGATCTGGGTGACATTCTAAAAGCCTTATGACTAGTAAAATCACGAGGCTGATCGGTTTAGCAATGCAATGATGTAATTGAGACTAGATGAGCTTCTGGATAAGAGAAGCGAAGTGACAACCAAGTGAGTAGCTGGAGAGTATCGCAAAGTGTGTACCAGGGTGAGTGGCTTCTCCCAAGGATTTTGAAGGCTGAAAATAAGCACTAACAATAAATTTTCAAGCGAGAATAGTGGATATGGGAAACAAATATTGCAGGGAAGCGAAAGAAGCTTAGAATGGCTTGAGATAAGCAGGGTTAGCTTTTTAACATGTAAGCACGTATGTACCTTCACGGCGTTTTGTACGAGGTAGGTAATTGCGGGATGGTACTGTTCTTTCACTCGATTGCCTGGCAAGGAAGATACCGCGCGGTCTAGCCTGATGACTGCCGTGAGAAGTAGCCTGATGAAGCTTTATATACAGGATAGTAAGTACAATGAGGACTGCCCCGATGAATGCCAACCCATCCATACTCAACTCCAACTTAGATGCATTGACCACCTTCCCAACGGGTCGATCATATGCAGTCAGCAGAAGGACCTCATGAACATACGATGCTGCAACTCTCATTAGTAGTAAATTATATGACGTGTACGGAGCGGGCCTTACCATTTCAAGTGACTCCATCAAACTCGCATGTTACATTCCCCGGCCAGTATATCAAGAATGAGTAAAGTTTGCGCGAGGGTGGGTGTCTAACTAATAAGACGCTTCCTTAACTCGCGAGTGTAAGAACGAATGTTCTTGGCAAGTACGGTCCGAATCTCCTGTTTTTGAGTGCCTTTGCAAAATCACCATCACAAGAAACACTGATAAATCTACGATAGCTCTGGTGGAATCTCTCCCATTTAAATAGGAGCTTTGATCATTTGAGATGATTATCCCAGCTCAAGGTAAGCCTTTAGGGACTTGAGGAAACAAATTCGGATTTTGGAGACGTTCACGATTTCGTTTTGCAACTTCCGCCTGCTTCTTTTTATCCAGTCTCTGTTGATAGAACGTCTTTTTTAGAGAAAAGACTCTAGGTTCTTCATCTGCTGTTGGACTTGGTGCTGGTGATACAGGAGTGTTCGGCTTCTCCTAAAGATACAAGTGAAATATTAGTAGGCATAAAATTGAGAATGATCAAGCGTTATGCATACCTTCTCTTCAATCTTCTTCTCATCTTTTTTCCCTTCATCCTTTTTATTTTCACTATCCTTCTCCTTCTCGTCTTTCTTCGAAGTTTCTTTCTCCTTCCTTCTCTTCTGCTTCTCTTCGAACTCCTGTTTCACACGTGCAATCTCGTCGTCCATTTCTTTCTTCTTCCTAGCAGCAATAGCAGCCTCATCTACAATGGGCGTGGCAAACCCTTTATCCTTCAAATGGGATGGGCATACATAAAAGAAGTCCTAATAAGAATCGTTAAGCGACCACTTCAAAATAGAGGATGTCAATATCCACCTTGTTTTCTGGAGTTATCAGAACACTTGCACTAGGTTTATAGCAAATCTCACAAGGCTTGGAAGCGGTGTCGGCCACCTTACGATGAGTCCAAATGTTGGGAAAGGAAGCCATATTTAAAATCAGTTTATCAATTAATGCCCTTGTGAACTTGTGCTTCTTCAACACTCTTCAAAATTCAACTCTTCGGGTACTGGGAGAAGTACTTGGTAGATACGTGGTAGAATTAAAGAGGTGGAGAGTTGAGATTCGGATGTGATGTGAAACAGCAATTGATGAGTTGTCGTTTACCGTAGTTCTAATATTCAAGAAAGGATCTATCACAAGGCGGGCGCTAGCAAGGATTAACGTAGCACCGACCTCCGATGCAATCAGGAACCACCCCTCAATAAATTTTTAGCTATCACAATACTATTATCAATAGTTTCTTAGCACTCCCGTCCATATTTGGTTTTATGTCAAGCAACCAAAACTGAAAGCGACGATAAGCTGTTGTATTACATTTACTTATACTTTTTTGATCAATTCACTCAGTTTCATTCCATTATGGCTTCAGAACAAGTTAGAGCTCCAGGTAGCAAACCTGGAGAGAATATGTTGTGGGGTGGTCGATTTACTGGTTTGTTTGACTCATATTTCTTTGATTGAGCTCAATTTCTTACTGACACTTCAATAGGTGGTCTTGATCCTCTCATGGTTTCTTATAACGAATCAATCTACTACGATCGTGCATTCCACACTCAAGATATTCGGGGTAGTATTGCTTGGGCTCGTGCAAACCACAAGAATGGCATCTTGACTGAAGCTGAATTCGCAGCAATTGAGTCCGGGTTGAAGCAGGTCGAGGAAGAATGGGTCGCTGGCACATTCAAGATCATTCCTGGTGTGGACGAGGATATTCATACTGCAAATGAGAGAAGACTGGGCGAAATTATTGGCAAAGAGATTGGAGGGAAATTACACACTGGAAGAAGTCGAAATGAGCAAGTTGCAACAGATATGCGATTGTGGCTTAGGGATGAGCTCAAAAAGATTGAGAGCTTCTTAGTCGATTACTTGAAGGTTGTGGCTGCCAGGTCAGAGAACGAGATTGAGCATATCATGCCAGGATATACTCACTTGCAACGTGCTCAACCCATCAGATGGAGTCACTGGATGTTGTCATACGGTTTGGCTTTTGCAACTGATCTCCAAAGATTGCGAGAAGTTATCAAGCGAGTCAATCGATCGCCATTAGGATGTGGTGCTTTGGCTGGTAACCCTTTCAATATCGACCGTGAGGCAATGGCCGAGGAGCTTGGTTTCGAAGGTCTTTTGTGGAATTCTATGTCCGCTGTTGGCGATCGTGATTTTGTCGTTGAGACGATGCAATGGGGTGCCACTCTTATGTCACATTTATCAAGATGGGCTGAGGATCTTATCATCTATGGTACCGGTGAATTTAGCTTCGTTCGTCTGGCTGATGCCTACTCCACAGGAGTACGTCCTACCTTCCAAGACCTACATAGACTCTTAAACTAACATCGATAGTCATCTCTGATGCCACAAAAGAAAAACAGTGACAGTTTGGAATTATTGAGGGGTAAATCTGGCAGAGCGTTCGGTCAAATGGCAGGTTTGATGATGACAATCAAGGTACTTCTCCACTGTCGTTTGGCAATATGACAATATTCTGATCGATCATGTTAGGGTCTTCCAAGTACTTACAACAAGGATCTCCAAGAGAGTGTAGAGCCAATGTTGGATCACATCAAGACAGTTGGAGACAGTATCCAGATCGCGACCGGTGTTCTCAGCACGTTGACTATCAATCCAGAGAAGATGAAGGCCTCGCTAGACCCATTCATGCTCGTAAGTCAATTCAAAGATACAACTTGGGGAAATGCTCTCGAGCCTAGTGTATGTTGGGTGTGCTCTCGCTAACCAAGGGGATCATTCTTAGGCCACCGACTTAGCAGATTATTTAGTACGGGCAGGCGTACCATTCCGAGAGACTGTTAGTAGCTCCTCATTCTTCTGGGTTATGATCGAACAAGTGCTAATATTGAAAATAGCACCATATCTCTGGACAAGTCGTCGCATATTCTGAGAAGACTAAGATTCCAATGGATCAATTGACATATGATCAATTGAAAAGCATTGATAGCCGTTTCAAGGAGGATGTTTCCGAATGCTTTGACTATGAGAAGAGTGTAGAAGCACGCCAAGCGGCTGGCGGAACCAGCAAGTCAAGCGTTGAGGAGCAAATCAAGGTTCTGAAAAGCATTCTTGGTTAAAGGTAAAAGGTCGAAATGTTGAAATGTTATGAATCGAGCTGTTCAGAATATTTTGCGCTATACAATCATCTAGTGCATTGTTAGTGTCAATGCTAGATCTGCGGGTTGCAATTCTTTTGTAATAGAAACTCCATACAGATAAAAGTTAACGAGAATAATTGATACCATGAATGCATAGAAGTCACGAAACGTAATGTTCGACCGTTGTTGTATCTAGTGTTGTTGTCATTGCCATTGCTGTTACTGTTGTGGTTCCTCTCTGTTATTGTCTTTTCTCAAATCATGCTGGCCGTGTATTGTCTGTATTATGAGAGCTTTCAAGACGAATAAAGACTGCAGCTTTTCTCCTATGTGTCCCTCAAGGGAAAAAGGAGGCCATAAACTGCTCTCAGCCCTCTTCACAATGCTCCGAGGTTTCTGAGGTGGAAACCTATGCTCTATGTGATAGAATATTCTTTGACTAATAGTAAATTTTTTACATAACAGAAGACTCAATCAATTGTCTATTGAAGCAATCAAGTTTCTAGGAAATATGAGACAAAAGAAGTTACGACGCACCCTTAACAATGCAGAAAGAAGACAGAACTTGGCCTAAACTCTACAATCTGATACAGTCTATCAATACTGACATGTATTCATCTGTTGCATTTATCCCATTTCACAAAACACTGAAGTTCGCTCTCCTCGATCTATAAGCTCTATGGTTCTGATAACACTCAGCATGAAATATCTGTCATTATCTATTAAGTTCTCTGAGCTGATCACGAGCATAAAAGTTATTCTCATTCTCTTCAACTTCCCATCATTCTTACTCCATTCTTCATAATCCACTCTCTTTCGATTCTCTCCTCACATCACTTGACTTTCTGAATATATAAATCTCCATTCGATTTTTTAGAACTATTCAGAAATTTGAAAATCCTGAATATACAGAAAGAATCTTGAGAGCGCTTCAAATATTTGAAGGAAAGAAAGCTCGGTTAATGTCCTCAAGCCTAGAGTCAGGGCTGATGATGGGAGGGGTTAACAAGAGGGGCGAGGGAAAGTGCGGAGAGGTTCAAAGAGATTTTGTTTGGGAGATTCAATAATTGTACTTTGAGGTTACTTTTCTGTTGGCAACAATGGTAAATCTCACAAATTCACTCCCCTTATACATTTCTTCAATAGCTGAAATCTTGCCAACTGCTTTAGAATTTCTACATCAAGAATTCATCAGCAACTCTTCTTAAGATCTACCTTTCGTTGGTTCGGATCAAAGCCCCAAAAAACATTTTATGAAGAATTGGTTCGTCCAATACCAAGACAACCTTATAGCTTCACAACTTCTAATGTAATGTAACATCGTTCTGCTCACTTTGTACTCTGATTTTAGAAATCCGAGAAGATAGACTTAGCAAAATCTGACATCGAGTACTGAATGTGCAACAGTGAATTAAACACAGCCATTTCAATCAAAGGACCAGTTAGCGACCCGAAGAAACCCCATCTATTTTTGTTTGAGAGTGTTCACGGGTTCATCTTTTGCAAATTACTAGGGGGTTTCTTTAAAATTTAGCAAATCCTCACCCTCTCTTCGAACTTGTTTGAAAACACAATTCACAAATCTTTTAACAATTCTACAATTCGTTTAACTTACCTGAGTTCTCATTGCCTTTCTTCTCTGGTCCATGTCTAGAGAGATGATCTTTAAATTCAACGCTTAGTATTGCATTTGATTGTTACTTACTGCATAATTCTGGCTTGTGGTAATCTGAAAAACTTCCCGTCAAAGATAATAATTCGCCTCCACAGACGACTAAAATTCAACTTACAGTCAACTATCGATCGCGCCGCTTGTTGCTACCCAATCGATATTTGCCGGTTTCACCATGGATACTTCTAATGAGAAAAAAGTTATTTCAGCATATGAGAGAAAAATTGCAGAAATATTGAAGAGAAAGGTGCAGGAATGTTTCGAAATGCAAACTGGTACGACCTTGTCCGTCAAGGAGGCGCACTGGCTGGATTAAGCCTGTCGAAGATGTCCTCCTCGTCCAAAAAACTTGGCTAAGGATACTGAAGTCTTCCAAACTATATCAGAGAAGGCTTCTGAAGCTGCAAATTATGGTCAGTGTCTTTTCTTGACTGCACGCGAAGTCGAAGCCTACAAATACACATCTCTTCGTGATGCGTTCTACGACAAACCACACTCGAAACTACCCGTAGACGACATCCTCCTATGGTTCTATATCTTTAAGAGAACATATATAGACGGCACCCATTGCTTGGATTATCAACGGGATCCATTCAAGAATTACACCGAGAATGTAGGCATCAATTTGTTAGCAGAATTTGCAATTGCTTCAAAACCCTGCTTTGTTGTTCCAGGAGGAAGGGAAGAGCTTGCAAAAGAGTGGTATCTATGTTCAGTTTCAAGTATTGAAAAGCTCGAGGATGCGAAGCTTTGGCAAGTTAACGTCACGTTGAGCAGCAGGGAAGCACATGTTCTTACCGCTCAAGGTATATCATTACCGGTTTCCAAAGAGTGCGAGGCAAGATTACCAAGAAATGCAACCAGAAAACAACGCATGGAGATGGCTGCGTTCGAACCTGAAAATGCTCTCCCTCAATACCTGCACCATCTCCTGGGCCTAGCCGTAAAGAATAACGCCGATATCACATTTACAAGCGACGAGGCTGCAACACTCCTCATAATTTCGAAAGACAACCCAGTCCCAAAATCAGACCCGTCAATCAAAACTCCTGCAAAAGCTGTCGAATATCACGAAGGAAATAATGAAATAATTCCACCAGAATGGGTGAAAAGGGCTATTGAAGCACAAGTAATGGCGGGACAGGAGGAGCCAAAGAGATTCAAGAACGGGTATCCTCTAACGACAAAGACCCCGGAACAGAGGAGACAGTGGCGTGAGGAGGAGAAAGAGAGATTGATATCATTAGGTCATACTGAGTTGGCTGCGGTCAGAAAGGATCCGAAGGAGAAGGTGTTAAAAAGCAAAGTTACCATCAAGGACATCAGAGCTGTCATCGAATCGAACGCTGAAGAGTCAGAAGAAGAACATGATAAGTCAGAAGAAGAAGCTGAAGATAGAGCTAAGGACGACTTGATACTCTCATTAGGCAAGAGACTCGCCGCCAAAGAACGACATATAGCTGAAAAGGAGACCGAGATCAAGCATGTTTGTGTTGCTTATGACAATCGAGAGCAAGCACTCAAAACTGAGAACAGCAAGCTAGAATCTGCATTAGTAGCGACGAAAGAGAAACTCGACAAGGCACTGAAAGAACCAGACAAGGTCCGAAGCGAATGGTCGACCAAGATACAGCGTCTGCACGAAAAGATATCTAAGCTAGAGCAGGAACTTAAGGCCGAACAAGATGCACAAAATATTACCAAGCTCGATAGTGCAGAAACAACCAACAAGCTTTCTCGACACAAAGCAGCACATGAACGCTTTGTTGAAAAGGCTACTGAGCTCAAGAAACAACGGGACGAAGCACGACAAGAACGAGACATACTACGTGCTTCTCGCGTCAGCCAGGCTCAAATCGACGATACAAAGGTTAGCGAGATCGCTCGCGCTGTTGAGGAAGCTACCAAGCCTCTTAAGGCTGTCATCATTGCTTCGGAAGCCAAGATTGCCACCCTGGAAACAACAATTTCGAAACTCAAAGACGACGCAGTGACGAGAAAGAACCAAGAAGGCATGGCCGCACTTCCAGTAATTAAAGCGCTTGTCGATCTCCAAAAAAGATATGCACGATTGAACGAAGCTATAAAGAAGGAACGCAGTGGTCGCGCACATGACGCAGTGTCTCAGAAAAGCTCGGAAATTGACCTTCAACAACAATTACAGGAACAACAACTTGTGTCTGCGGATCTGCGGTCTCAGATTATGGGACAATCGAATGTGGAGAAGGCTCTGCTGGAGCAACTTGCTGTGTTGCAAGAGAGGAATACGCGGCTGGAGGAGGAGAATTCTCAGTTTAGAACTGTGCAAAGTATGATGCAGGGGATTGGTAGATCCTAGACTGGGCGTTTTGTAATTGTGGTCTTGGTTTATTGGTTTCACAGGGCTTGGGCAATCGGCATGCAAGTCTTACTCATAGTTGGTAGCTATCGCGTACTATTCTTGCTTCTGAGGGGTGTTCGGGATCTGTGGTTTAGGATTTGTATTCACAGTGCGCGTTAGATACCCATTAATCTTTTCATAGGAGAATTACACACATGTAGCTAGTAAGTAAAATTGCAAAAATGGATGTGCACAGATTTGATTATTTTAATTGTGCTGGATATTCACGAACGGAATGGTGAAGACTGATATACAATGATATATTTCTAGAATTGTGGCATTACCGTATTGTAGTTTTGCCGCCAGTCAATCATCAAATCTATGTCAATCTTCGTAAGAAGTTGACATAATTTTTCAATTGGTTCCGCCGATTTCCATTTGGAGTTTGTGAGTTTAGTATCGGAGTACTCCAAGGTTAGGATTGCGTCATGTAGACCTCGCTTGCAAAGGGGGCTTCGATCTAGCTTCTTGCCTGACGACTATTACTACTAGTCTTCTCTCAAACTTCCTCACAAAAAATACATGTTGATAGACATAAAGGCGTATTTGTAATAGCGCTTCAAATGTACTTACTAGCTGCAAGAATATCATCTACAAATGCACCCGCTAACTTTCATGTTCGCCCTGTCTTCGTGATTCCACGAATCCCATTCATATTAACTAATTGTCTCTAATTCAAGCGCTCAAATGCTTCTCAGTCTTCTCGGGTCCTCCACCAACACCAGTCAAAATTACTCTACTAACACCATCCTTGAGAACCTTCTGTGCTCTCTCATCAATATGTTCTGCACTCTTACTCTCGACATCCTTTCCATTCCATCCGTCCACACCTCCAAGGACACTCTTCAACGCACCAGCTACTAATCCAAGGTTCTCTTCCTCGAAGTAAATAACAGCGTTTGGGCCAGCATCAAAAGTATATGCCGCAACCGTCTTTCCAGCGGCATTATTGATATCCTCGACAGCTCTGATTGCTGCTCTACTAACATCATTCAGATAGAAAATGGGTGGGAAAGTATCCAAACATGTTGCATGGAAACTATTACTATCCATCATAGTAACCTTTGCGAATCCCTCGAAATCTTTCTCTTGAATTGCCCGTTCCATTTCCTTCATGTGTTCTGGAACTACATTCTCTGCTCTCTGTTTGAAAAGTTTCGATGTCGCAACTGTAATTTGCATACCAGAGGTACTGGAAACTCCCTTCTTCTCGGCAGAAACAACGAGAATAAGAGCCCGCATGTTAGGCCAGTGAGATGCTGGTGCTACCTCCACAGCAACGGAATCAGATCCATCCTCCTTTTGGCCCATCTCCCAAGCTACATAACCTCCAAACAAAGAACGACAAGCAGAACCACTTCCCTGTCTTGCGATTCTCGAAAGTTCGGTAGGATTAGATTGCAATTCATACAAGTTGGCGATAGCTCTAACGAGAGCGGCGAAACCTGCAGCGGATGAAGCGAGACCTGCAGCTGTGGGGAAATTGTTCTCCGAGATGATTCTCAAGGGGTAAGAGGAGAGTTTTGGGAGCGAGGAATCGGAATCTTCGAGTGCGGAACGAAGAGAGCGAAGCTCGCGGAAACAGGCTTGAGTGCGGGCGTTGGAGATATCTTGGGGAGAGCCATTGAGGAGAAGAGAATCTTCGGTAAAGGTGGGGGAGCAGGAAGCGGTGGTATGAGTGCGGAGATCATTTTGAGAGAGGGTTACAGAGATGGAGGAGTTGGTTGGGAGGTTGAGTTTTGCATCGCGTTTTCCCCAGTATCTGGTTGGTGAGAGAATATGTTAGTGCGGGTTTCTTAGTGTGGACAATGCAAGAAGTACAATGGAGGAGAGAGGGGTAGCTTTACTTACTTGACTACTGCGATATTAACTGGAGCCGTAGTACTGGCTTGATAAACCTTTGTGTCTGACATTCTGAAGGTATTTTGAATCAAATGTGAAGAGTTAGAATTTGCTTTTGATTTCCTCGGAAGAATACACAAGAAGTATTTATTTTCAATATTTCAATAGTTTCCTTCTTAGGAGATTAAAAGAAGTCTCCTATTGACAACAACCGCCAGTCCCTTCACCTAATCGCAAAATGTCAAAGGCGGTCAACAATAACCAATCGGGGAAAGTAAAATCCGCTAGTAAGGTACCAGGATTAACCAATCAACAGGGCAAATTCAAGCTGGGGTTAAGATCAGCGGATAAGGCAAAATAATTATTTTAATGCTTCGACCAATTCAATTTATTTGTATTAACAATCACCCCTCACTTGAGCAAAGTATATCTTCATAATCTACACAACCACCAAATATGTCTAAAGACGAGTCAACTCAAGGCATAGAAGCCTGCCCAGTCGATCATGCAACACGTTCAGCATGGCTTAAAAACAATTCCACCAAACCACCTTTCCCAGGCGCAACCCCTCCATCAAAACCAGGTCCAAGTTGTGATTCTTCAACCGTTGATCAAACTCCTCCTCCTACACATACACCTTCAAGTTTTTTCTCCAGACTATTCTTCTGGGACAATTCATCACCTACACCCTCTCAACCACCATCAACTCCCAAATCCGCAACTTCTCCACCCCGTCTAGGACTCGACCGTGAAATTTCCACGATTCCTCGCGCATCTCCTACTCCAAATGATACCCCCTCGTCCTCCTCTCCTTCAACCTCCCATCCCGCGAACTCCGAATCTGAGTCTGGCGTTTCTGCATCTGGAAACTGGATTTATCCTAGTGAAAAAATGTTTTTCGAAGCCATGAAGCGCAAAGGCCATCAATCAGACGCTGCAGATATGAAAACTATTGTGCCGATTCATAATGCTGTGAATGAAAGGGCATGGAAAGAAATTAGAGAGTGGGAGGCGGGATGGGGCAGCGAAAAGTACGTTCTTCTTTGAGAAGTTTTGTGGTAAGATGTAGACTAATGAATTCAATAGATGTGGTGGGCCTCGTCTTCATTCTTTCCTTGGACTTTCGCAAACCCTTTCCCCTAAAGCTCGATTCAATACACTTCTCGGATATACCGCTCCCTTCGATCGACATGATTGGGTTGTTGATCGATGCGGCAAGAGAGTTGATTATATCATAGACTTTTACGCAGGCAAAGCTTCACCCGACGGAAGTGGAAAACTGAATTTCTTTTTAGATGTTCGACCAAAGTTGAATACCTTAGAAGGATGGAAGATGAGAGCTTGGAAGGTATTTAACTAGAGCTCTAGATTGGGAAGATGAGGAAATGGGGAGGGGGGAAAGGTTGAGGGTGTGACCAAAACTCAGCATCATGCGCCAGGTCACAGCTTGTAGTAAAGCGGAGATGGACGGACATGACAACTTCCGTGAGACCTATACGACGTCTGGAAGAAGGTCCAATTCAAGTTCGATATAACTTCAGACGGGACACAAGTCAGAATGGATATTCTGCCATGGCTTTAGGACACAGGGGATATGCGCCTAACATCATCGGATGAGTGTATATCATCTGAAGCTTTTTGAATGCCTATTTCTTCCACTTGAGCCACTCTAAAGACTTCGGTATCCAAAGCTGAGACGGAGAGGAGAGGATGTACGATTAACGAATTGATAGGGATAAAATGGAAAGCTAGGCATTGGATTGTATATTTTAGGTGTCACGGTGTTTGTATACCGATGTACTCTTTGAGAGTGACTTCGAAGGACATACTCTCTGCTCCGGTTGAGCTGTACAATATATATGTATGTACAGACTAATAAATCTATATCAAATATATCAGGAACATGAAACCATGTCATTTAGAATGAGAGTTCACGGCAATCACACCCAATAGACGATTATTTTTAAGATGCTATTCGAATCTCCAACCAATTTGCACTTCTCAGTAAATTCGCATTTGGTAGCCTTCCCCTCTCTCATCTTGTCTCGACAGTCAGAGAGAGGGAGGATGCGCCTTATCTGATACCCAGTTCAGGCATGCCTTGGTAGCGAATAAACAAATCGCGAAAAGATGACCTTATTTCCTCTTGCGTGGTATAAGATCTGCGCTGTGGATTTCAAGATATCCTCACATCCTCATACACAATATAACATGATATAATATACAAACTCATCACACACATAAAAAATAGGCGGGAAAACAGATTGGGAATCAAGGGTACATTTATTGCTGTGAAGTTCGGGGATAGGAAGGATGAGATGAGATGGGTGTTGATTTATTGACCTAGGTATGTATTTACTATGTAGATATGTAGATATGTAGATATGTAGAGAAATAAGATGATTTCAAAAAGGGTAGAAATTTTGGATTTGCGAGTAGTGCTGGATTTGAATTTGGATTCGGATTTGAACTTGATGGGATAGGGTAGGATGAGATTGAGTGCTTGAGTAGTTGAGGAGACTGGATGATTGAGGATGAGGGTATTTGTTTGTAGAGGGGTTTGGTGGGATGATTTGGAGGGAGCGAGGCCAGGAAAAAGGGGGAAGATTGAGATTGAGGATGATAATGATGTGTCTAAGAGAGGCGCTACTATTATTTCTTGATGTGTAGATTTGATTTTGATAGGATGGGTTAAGTGGCATTTCCAAGCCTCAAAGCTTATATGTATAGCATGAAAGCACTTTTCATATTTGAATTCATATTTTACGTCAAAGTACCACCCGAGACTCTCATTTCATCCGTTGATTTACCGTTCCCATCTCCTACTCTCCCCTCTCTTGCCCATCAGTAACAACCAATCTCGTTCCCGCTCTAACCTCAATCGCCGCCGTATTCAAATCCCATCCTTTCTTTTCCAACTCCTCATAAAACCTCCTTTCAGCTCTCCATTTCTCCGATTGCTCTAGCGATTGCTTCATCCAATTCAAAATACTTTGATTATCTATCCGATTCTTCTCGGATTCATGAATCTTCTCCTCCCTAAACGTAATGGCGAAGATAGCATGGAACCACGCATCCAATTGAACTTTTGGGGGTGACCCTTCTTTCAAAACAACGAGGAATGTATTGCGAGGACGAGAATACCACATTATGTAACCCTGAATTTTGTAGATGGATAGTAGAGATGTAAGGATTGAATCAGTTTCTGCATAACTTCCTGCAGTTGTGGGTGTGGAAATTGACGAGAGCAGTTCTTGGAGACTCGTGCCGACTTTGCAGTAAGCGAGGATTGTGCCTTGGGTGTTACGAATCGCGCCGTCGCGTTCGAATATGCGTTCTTGGAGCGATATTTCTCTAGGAGAGGGGAGAGCAGTTTTGTTCTTCTCGTGTTTTGTATTGGAGAGGAAAGATGAAATGACGAGATTTGCTCGTTGTCTGTTGAGGGTACGCATGGTGACTGATCTGACGGCCAGATAGTTCGTACCGAGATGAATGGAAAGGAGAGAGAGCAATGCAATCCACGTAGCTACCTGAGAAGAAATCTTGGAAACGACAAATGTTCCAACGAGCATACCTAGGAGGGATATGAGAGTTTCCTGACTTGCATCTTTCTATCTCCCCGTTAGTACCATTCCATCCATTATCCATCTATCACAAGAAGCAAGAAAACCCACCGCATTCAACTCCGCCAAATTTCCCATCTTCGCGAAATGCGCGCTCAAACTCGCCTTGCTACTTCCCGCCGCAACCCCGCAAAGCGATTTACACACACTACTCGCACTGAGTAAAAACACGCGGGGGATTTTGGGAAAAGCAGGGGAGATGCAATCTAGAATCATAGCAGCGTCGTTGAAGATATCAGCCATGAGTCGATATTTTTTGCATTCGGGTTCGAGAGCACTTCCGAGTCGGTGAGCGAAGAGGATGGTAGAGATACGACCTGCGGATTCTTGGAGGATGGAGAGGAGAACGGCGTGAGTTGCTGAGGCGTTGGAGTCGCCTACGCCGAGACCTGAGGTAGGTTAGATTGGAGTATTTTTTTAGATGAAGGCTTGTGGTAACGTCGGAACAAGGGAATGTCAAGATAGGGAGTTGTGGCAACACTCTACAACAACTCATAACAACAAGTTCACAAAAAAACTCAATCCTCAGATCCCCAGAACAAAAGGACCCCTCTGTCCCCCATCTCCAAAAGAAAGAATCCTTCACCTCATTCATACCTTGAAGCACAGCCCTACTAGCCAACAATCCCGCAATCGTACTAGCAAAAGCCTGAATAGAATCCTTCTCTCATCAGCAGTTCCTCTGCCTATTCTCCCCGAACCAAGGTCTCTTACATAAAATTGATACCTATGATACAATCCATTAGTCACCTCACTACCCAAATTCCCCACACCATTTTCATCAAGAAAGCAAGGCAGGAGAGATCCCAAAAGAAAGAGAAAACCTACGCAGTATAATCCTCCGTAACACTGTCCGGATATCCCACTGGCATGAATGCCCCTACCAAGCTCATAACCCACGTCGACGGACCTTTTGGTATCTATTTCAACATTTCAATATCAATCGACTTCACGGATTCAATCATCTATCAAGAGAGACATCGTATATATACAGAAAGAAAGAAAGAAAGAAAGAAAGAAAGAAAGAAAGAAAGAAACAACACACACATCGACATCGATCCGGTCAGATTCCGTGCTAGAAGAACCAATAGTATGAGAGCGAATGTATGTAGCGATGAGTTTACCGGATTGGTTTATCTCTTTGATTTCTTCTGACCCGGACATGGTCTCTAATGGCTTAAGCGGGGGTTCTATGAGGGGGGAGGTAAAGTGCTATTCTGAATGTAAGTGTCAATTGTTTGTGGATAAGTGGGTGATGTATGAGAATGACGCGATGCAATGGGTAGGAATCATTCTTAGCGAGTGGTCGTCATTCGGACTCAGAAAAGGATATTTGTATGTGTTTCAGGAATTAAGTCGTCATTTGATTTCATGAATTTGCATCATCTAAAGGAGAACAGCCCAAGATGGAGAAAATCAACTCGGAGTTGTGGTCCAGTAGGTAGTTTAAAATCATGATTATTTATGCACGTGATCAATGTATTTTGGTTTAATGTTTGGTTTGATATTTGATATTCTCGCTTTCTTCAACTCATCTCATGACAATTCAGAGAGCCACCCTCAAAAAGAACTTCCCAGAAACCCATACTCCAGAGTAAAGATCAAGATCAGAATTATTCCAATAGGAAAGATGATACATGCTCCGACTCCCATAAAAGCAACTTTTCCATGCCACTGATCCGAACTACAGTCCTTTTGTGCATCCCAAACTTTCAAACAGTGACGTAGAGCTTATTCCACTCTATCCCGAAAGATAACTTATTGATATTCATCCATCTTATCACAGAATCTTCATGAAATCCGTCGTTTTCGTGGGTATATCCTTCCTCGATCCATCACTTTTCCGTAGCCTGCCGTAAATGTACAAATAATTTTCTTCTTCCTTTTTTTAAGTTTCAAATCTAGCAAACAACTGTAGCACCGCCAGTCTCGATGGCATCAATCTCGGCAAGATCAATTGGAGTACGTTGGAAACGTGCAGGGAGTTCACTGCGATCGAAGTATTCTCCCTTGGTTGGAGCAACGGAGCCTAGAGCTCTACCGGAGAGAGAACCAATTGTACCGTCACTTCTGGCGCTGCGACCAAGTGGACCATGTTGTTGAGCATTTTGTCTGTAGGAAGAGAAGGAAGAGGAGGAAGACTTTTGAGCCTCAGCGAATCCTGCTGGAAGTTCGTGGGTTGGGGATGCTGGATGTGGTCGTGCAGAGTGATCAACCGAAGCTATTTCAACTGTTAGAATGAATTATAGAGCAGCTTGAAAATTAGAATACGTACAAGGAATTGATCTCTTGCCCATGAACCTGATCAATGGAGTACGCTCAGCGTGAGCAGCAGCCGCAGAGGCTTGACGAAGGACCTTGGTCGCAAACATCTTGATGGTTGGGAAAGATTGAAAAAGTAATCACAAAGAGAATTTGTAAATACTGAGAAGATGTGCGACCTTAAGAAGGAAATCAGGACCGTCGTCTGCCTCTGTGTTTGACGTGCTGGAGATTGAGTTGTCAAGTTGTCAAAAGAAAAAGAGTTCGGGAAATGGAAAGCTTTAGTCTTGGGGATAGTGTACTCGTAGCGTGTGGTAAGTGGGACGAGAATTCGGGAATCGGATGGATGAGTGGATGGGGGGAAATAGATAGGCGTCCGCTAGTAACCAGATGTGGAAAGGGTGGCGGCTGATTCAAAAGAAAATATGGTAATTAGGTATGTGAAGCTGTGAATAGATTGAGTGTGTATGTGAGTATATATTATATCTCTTTTTCTCGGAACAAATTGAAGAAACAACAATGAAGTGAGAACCTTTTTCGCGAGGGGGAAACAGCAACAGCAACAGCAACAGCAACAGAAGAGTAGAAAATCCAACGGTCTTTAATAGAATACCACAGTAAAAAAAGGTCTATGTTGGTGCGGGGTTAGCCATTGATAAAGGCCACTTCCGATGGAGCATTATGTCTAATTCCTCAGACGATATCACATTATCAATCAACTGATTTTTCCTTATCGCACAACCATCCTTGCGTGCTTATTGGTTGATGATGGATGGCAATGGTCGACAATGGTTGCAGACACATGCTAGTCAATGGCGTGATGTATAAAAGTATATAATGTCCAGGATGCGATGTGTGTACAAAGTATGTAAATGGTATCAGATCATTTCCCTCCCCAGATCCCTTGCAACACGATGTATGAAAGAGGCTTCACTTTGCAGGAAGGGCGTGTGGTATGTGGGTAGGGAAGTAGGGTAGTAGGGTAGCAGTAGTAGGGTAGCAGTAGTAGGGTAGTTCTAATGCACGCCCAGGTAGGCAACTTTTGATAGATTAAACGGCTTGGTGGTTGGTTGGTCGCTTGGTCGGCTGGTCGGTTGGTCCGGTAGAGATGTTCTTCACAAGCTAATCGTTTCATTCCAAAGCCAAGTCGTAAGCCAAAGTTTGAACAACAGATGATATTTGGAGATGATCTGATAGACTGACCGAGGATTCTTTTCCTGTGGACGGGTACATAGTAGGTAGGTGGTACATGGTAGTAATTCGGGTTATGCAGGGACAAATCCGAACATAAGCGAGAGAATAATCATTGGTTCAAACTTCATTAACTAATTCTATTCTATACCAATCACTACTAGGTACTTGTAAGTCAATTATCATCATCCAAAGTAAAGTTCAAAGAGTTTCCCTCCGTCTATCTGCCCACCTCCCTCCTCTGTCAGCCTCGAAAGCCTTGTCTGGTCTAAGTGTCTGGGGTGGTCTGGGGAAATGTTGATAGAGTGACAGCAAAGAAATCATTAGCCGGCATTCGTTCCATATCAAAGAATTTGATAGCGTGGTGTATATCTGGGGATGGGAATCGAAGACTGGAAAAGGATACATTTATTCCCTTGAGATTCTCATCCGTACGGTCATCATATTCTGAGCACAAGGTCCTTTAATTTCTACCTATCCATCACTACTGCAACAACACGTTTCGAGAATATACTTTTATTTATACCACATTAAGCAAAAACTTACACCCCCCTCCCACCTCCCACCTCCCCCATCAAAGATTTTCTTTCCACCTCCGTACTTCGGCCTTCCCCCAAACTCAATCCTTGTCAACCTATTGGGTAAATCACCATGCATGAATTATTCCTCTCGGCATCCGTGGATAGCGAAGACGTATCTCATTCTCTCCGTGTACTCCAAGGCTATTGTGGTATGATACCCCAACACTTTATTCGTCGACGATTAGTATTCGAAGGGCCACGCAGTCGAAACAATTTGAAAGGTCTTGATCCTTCCTTTTTGAAAGCCCAACCGCCGAATAAACAATTCTGGTGGAAATCACTCAACGAGCAGCTGATTCGTCAATCTTACGTTCTGACTCTGATATACGACGTTGATAAAAGTCAATTTGGTCAGCCAGCAAAGGAGCTTGATGGTGGAGAAGGTCAACCGTAAGTGCCTACCTTTCATTGATTGCATATCAAACCATGTGATCTTTTGAGACGGCTTTCAATACCTTGACAAAATACTTATTGACTTTAACTAGGGGTCTGCTCCCATGTGATGAGGTACCAGGTACATTGAGATGGACCGATCTTCCAGATCCAGCCAATGCTGCTGTCGTGAATAGCAGAATGTTCATTGCGATAGACAATGAAAAGTCATTAAGTAGACTTCTTCAAGCAAGCAGTCACCGGTACGTTGAAACTACTACCAACCAATCATTTACAGTTGTTAATCATCAGGTAGATTCACACGGGAGATTATTCAAGAAAGTCACCGAACTGTTCACAATAATACAGTTTTTACACTTAGTCGCTACTTTGAAATCCCCTCAGAGTTCCAAGAAGTTGATAGTACCTCACGCCCTAAGGTCAATAGCAGGTTACCTCCCTTTGAATTACTGGAGCCATTTGATGCTGACGACAAATGGATTTTGACTGCTAGTATTGAGGTTCAGAATGGAGCTGATCCTGATCATATGAAGAGTGCAATGGCAGAGCTATCGGCAGCCCAAGAGGAATTTAAGGGATGTTTCGCTTTGAAAGCAGCAGACAGGCATACCTTTGATACCAAAGTCAAAGTGCAGGCTTGAGGGGAATGTGTAATAAGGTGGTGCCATATTAGAGGTATGAGGGGCTGTCTTCTAATCGCTTGATCTAGGATGAGAACGCATCTTTGAGGAGCCGCGAGTTCGTTCTATGGGTATAAATTGACCATGTGAGTCACATGGGGGCCCTGAAGAAGCCGCGATAAAGTCTAGTACATTGGGAGGCCATCATAACCAATATAGAGAATGAAGTCATATCCGTGAAAACTGTTGTATTGTTATACACAATCGTTCCCCCACCCTTCTAGCTTTGAAATGCCAATCGATTTACAACTGCCCTCCCAATGCAATATACACCTAAACAACCCTCTATTGGTTCTTCTTTGTTTGCCAGACTGCAATGCCGAATGGAGCACCTAAACCCAATATTAGTTTGGTTCCCTTCAACCCCCATGTCCCTCAGCAGGGCTGCTATCCTAACTCACCGAATCCAAGAGCCATGAATCCCCAGTATCTCAAAGCAAAGAATTTTGTTTTTGGGTTGAATGGAATGTTGCTTCGTGGTCCCTCAGGGTAATGGTATGGAGAACCCATTTGAGCACGGGTAGAGTGGAAGCCACGGCGGGCGACCATTGAGGTGGAGGAGGATGCGCGGACGGCGGCTCTAGACAACATCTATCATGATCTGTTAGTAGTTTCTCTTGAGGCTGTTATGATAGCGCAGCCTTACCTTGAAAAATTGAGTTCTGCTTTGTATTTTTGGTAAACAGTCAATCGAATGATTTTGATTGAAGCTCGGTTTGGCACTAGCCGACAATCGAACCAAAAAAATTAATGCCTAAGGCTAAATAAAGAATGGGACTTTCCAAGGTTATCTGAGATAGTGCCCGGAGCGGAAAGCGATAATAAAAAAATATCTTTGTTATTTCACACCTTGTACTTTTTGATACATTTAAAAAGTATCAACAAACCACAATTGCCTTTTGCATCTTGGTTAATGTGGTAGGATATCATTCATCATGGATGACTTATTTGACGCCTTCGACGATAAGCCCCAAGCAGCTGCTCCCAGCAGGCCTAAAAAAGCAAAGAAAGACAAGAAAGATCGCAGCAAGAAGAGAAATGCGAATGGAGACGTAAAGCCAATTGCTGATGCGCAAGATGTGGATGCTGAGATGGTAGATTCCGAGGAGCCAGCGGCCGAAGCAGATGTAGAGGAAGAGGATATTGAAGAAGATGACGAAATTAAAGAAGCAAAGAAGGACGCTAAACGACGCAGAAAAGATACAGAAGCCGATCCAGTAGTTACAGATACATTCGAGACAGCACAATCGCGAGAGCTAGCTGCTTCAGCAGGATTACAAGGTGCCCCAGAAGAAACAGCATTGGTTTTACAGCACAACATTCAACATCAAGTTTCTTTACCTCCCGATTACGAATATATTCCAATATCGCAGCACAAAGCTCCTGCCGAACCCGCTAGAACTTGGCCATTCGAATTGGATCCTTTCCAGAAAGTTGCTATTGCATCAATTCAAAGAAATGAGAGTGTATTGGTATCGGCGCATACTAGTGCAGGAAAAACTGTCACAGCAGAATATGCGATTGCGCAATGCCTCAAAAACAATCAGAGAGTCATTTACACCAGTCCTATTAAAGCTTTGAGTAATCAGAAATATCGAGAATTTACTGCGGATTTTGGAGATGTTGGTTTGATGACTGGAGATGTTACAATTAACCCAACCGCGACTTGTCTGGTTATGACAACCGAGATTTTGAGATCTATGTTGTATCGAGGATCTGAGATTATGCGTGAAGTCGCTTGGGTTGTCTTTGATGAAATTCATTATATGAGAGACAAATCCAGAGGTGTGGTTTGGGAAGAAACGATCATCTTGTTACCAGACAAGGTCAGATATGTCTTTTTGTCTGCGACTATTCCTAATGCTATGCAATTTGCTGAATGGATCACGAAAACTCACAACCAGCCATGTCACATTGTTTACACCGATTTCCGACCTACCCCTCTACAACATTATTTCTTCCCAGCTGGTGCAGATGGTATACATTTGATTGTTGATGAAAAGGGAAACTTCAGGGAGGATAACTTTTCGAAAGCTATGGCAACAATAGAGGATAAGAAAGGGGCTGATCCAGCAGACATCAATGCGAAACAGAAGGGGCGTGGAAAAGATAAGAAGACCAATAAGGGTGCCAACAAGGAAGGTTCGGATATTTACAAGATTGTCCGAATGATCATGTTGAAGCATTACAATCCTGTCATTGTTTTCAGTTTCAGTAAGAGAGAGTGCGAGGCATATGCATTACAGATGAGCTCCATGGCTTTCAACGATCAATCCGAAAAAGACATGGTTTCGAAGGTCTTCGAGAGTGCAATCGAGTCTCTCTCAGAAGAAGATAGAACCCTACCGCAAATTCAACACATCTTGCCATTGTTGAGACGTGGTATTGGTGTGCATCATTCTGGACTTCTTCCTATTCTCAAGGAAACTATCGAAATTTTGTTCCAGGAGAATTTGATCAAGGTCCTTTTTGCTACAGAGACTTTCTCCATTGGTTTGAACATGCCTGCCAAGACTGTAGTATTCACTAGCGTCGAGAAGTTCGATGGAGAGAAGATGCGATACTTGACACCATCTGAGTTCGTCCAAATGTCAGGTCGTGCCGGTCGTCGTGGTCTTGATGATAGAGGTATTGTCATTATGATGATCAACGACAAAATGGAGCCAGAGAGTGCCAAGACAATTGTACGTGGAGAGCAGGATAAGCTCAATTCAGCTTTCTACCTTGGTTATAACATGATTCTTAACTTGATGCGTTTGGAAGGAATTTCACCAGAGTTTATGTTGGAACATTGTTTCTACCAATTCCAGAACACTTCAAGTGTTACTGGTCTCGAGAAGGAACTTCAAGACTTGCAAATTGCGAGGGATGAAGTTCAAATTCCAGATGAAGCAACAATTAAGGATTACTACGATCTTCGACAACAACTTACTACATACACCAAGGACATGCGTGATGTTATCAATCACCCTAACTACTGTCTCCAATTCATGCAACCAGGACGGGTTGTTCACATCAAACATCAAGAACATGATTTTGGCTGGGGAGCAGTTGTGAAGTTTACAGCAAGACGACCTGCTAAAGGATCTGCTCAAGAATTTCCTCCACAACAAGCATACATTCTTGATGTGCTTCTGCAAGTTTCTTCGGATAGTACAGTTACTACACAAACACAAAACGACTTACCATTAGGCATCACACCACCTGCTGCAGGCGACAAAGGCAAGATGGAAATTGTTCCTGTACTCTTATCATGTGTCGAAGCTATCGGACATGTCCGTATATTCCTTCCAAAGGACCTTCACCCAGCCAATGAACGAAATCAAGTACGCAAATCTCTTGAGGAAGTCAAACGTCGTTTCCCAGATGGTATCGCAGTGCTTGATCCAATCGAGAATATGGGTATTACAGACGATTCCTTCAAGAGACTTCTTCGCAAGATTGAAGTTCTTGAATCTCGTTTACTCTCTAATCCCCTCCACAACTCACCACGTCTCCCAGATCTCTATAATCAATATGCTGGCAAACTCGAATTTACCAAACAAATTAAAGAAAAGCGCAAGGCTATTGCTTCCGCATTGAGCATCATGCAACTCGATGAACTCAAGTCACGCAAACGTGTTCTACGTCGTCTCGGCTTCATCAACGAACAAGAAGTCGTCGAACTCAAGGCTCGTGTTGCATGTGAAATCTCATCCACAGGTGATGGTCATGAACTCCTTCTCTCCGAACTCCTTTTCAATGGTTACTTTAACGATTTGACCCCTGAAATGTGCGCCGCCGTTCTCTCGGTTTTCATTTTCGAAGAAAAGAGTCAATGTCCTCCACTTAAAGAGGAGTTGGCTGCTAAATACAGAGAAATCCAAGCTCAAGCTAGGATCGTCGCAAAGGTTACTGCGGAGAGTAAATTGAAGATGAATGAGGAAGAATACGTGACTAGTTTCAAGTGGCAATTAATGGAAGTTGTTTACGTCTGGGCACAAGGAAAGAGTTTTGCGGAAATCTGGTAAGTTTTTCTTGGGTCTAGCTTCCTTTGGGGCTCTTCACGTGAGATGAGATGAGATAAAATTATACTAATACACTATAATAGCAAAATGACCGACGTCTACGAAGGATCTCTGATCCGACTCTTCCGTCGTCTTGAAGAACTTCTCCGACAAATGGCTCAAGCAGGAAAAGTTATGGGCTCCGATGAAATCTCGAATAAATTCGACGAGTCGCTTAAGAAAATTAGGAGAGATATTGTTGCGGCGCAAAGTTTGTATTTGTAGACTCGTTTCGTCGTACTCATTTCATTACGCAAATACTTTGTGGAAACATGATGGTGTTTGGAAGAGGACAGAAATGGTTCACTCTCTTCATTGGCTGTTTTCAGCTTCTAACTTTGAAAGTTGGAAGAGATGAGACGAGATGATCTCCTCGTTACATTTTAATTCGATTGTCGTGGTGTGTAAGACGGTGGAGGATTTTCTCTTCCCGGTTTCCGTTTTTCTATGGGCTTTGTGAATCCAGAATCTAGAATTCTGAATACCGAGTTTCGCATTCCGCATTACGAATGTTTCATCGCAATGGAGTATGGATTTTTCTTCTTTTTTTCTCTCAAATAAAAATGCATACGGGTATGGTGAATGGAGTATCTATCCTTTTTTAGCCTTTTTCATTTACACTGGGAACTTTTCCGTCGGGAAAGTTGGTCGAGGGACAGAGAGAGAGAGATGTGTGGCGGGTGTGAAGAATACGAGAAGGAAGGAAAGATTTCGGAAGGAAGGAAAGAAGGGAGGAGAGAAGAAGACAAGAAAGGAGAAAGAGAAAGACAAAGAGAGAAGGATCTTTGCGGTATGGCATGGTATGGCATGGCATGGTATGTGAAAGGGATGGGGGAAATAATATCTACCTACCTACCTACCTACCTACCTACCCGCCTTTTCTCTGTCCGCTATCCTCTATCCTCTCGACGAGAAGAAGAAAGGGAAGAAGAAAAGAACGTTTGTAATTATCTACCCATCTAACTACTCTTAGGACGTGAATAAAAATAAAAGAATACAAAATTACAAGAACCCTTCTTTTCTGATCTTTGTGGATTTCATGTTTGATGTTTGAAGTTTAGATTCTGTACTTGTATGATAGGGATTGGTGAATTGAAATGTGGTGTGTATGCCTAGGTGATAGGTTTTCACACAAAATCTCCATAACATCACGAATGTTACACACTCATGCATTGATTGCCTTTCACTTCAAGTCATATATGTATGTATGTATGCATTGAAAATTGAATTGATGCTTTCTTTCTTGGCATCTCGATGTATTGCCGTATCGCTATTATTATCTCTCTCTGTAACTGTATCTCTGTGCATTTGCTCCTCTATCTCTCGCTTCACCATCTCATCCATACCCCCCATCACATCTCGTCTCAACTCATCTAATCTCCTTTTCAGCTCCCTTCATCCGCGACACCTCATCATCATCATTAATCACCCAACCTCGCATCTTATCATCCGGCATATTTTCTGTTCTCCACCTCTCCCCTGCCTCTACGCATAATTGTCTATGCATTGAGCAAGCTTTCGAGAGCAAAATGCAAGCTGGCAAAATATAATGCAATCAACCAACGAGCCACTCAGAATCATATCATATCCCAACATGACGTTCAACCATCCAGCCATTGA